CAAATTAAAGATGATAGTACTGAATAGCGAATGTCTTTATAAACTGGCAGGAAAAGTATTTAACGTGAGCTCCGCTTTTAGGTTTGTCCAAACATGTGACAATTATCAAATAGATAAGAAACGGACTGTTTAGACATCATGCTTGCACTTGTCTAGTAGTTTTTTTTTTTCTGAAATTGGTATTGAATATTTGAAAAGTGTCCTCTGTAATTGTTTTCTTTCTATGTTTTCTGCTTTAGCTTAGATATTTTGCAAAGCTTCTAAGCATCACAAAAGATCGTAAGTTTGGTTTTACGTTAAAGATGCGAACGTTCCAATTTCAAATGCCTCCTTTTCTTATAGAAACATGTTTCACACTACGTTTTACTTTCTCTGAAGTCAGCCCTAAAATTGGACCCAACAGTGTACCAGAGTTATCGATTAATCTGATTGAAACACTGTCCACGGACAAATTAAGGTTGATAGTAAGCTCGTGAATTTCTTTACTGAAAGGCATCGGCTCAATTTTGGAGAAACTGGTTAACCTGCAAACATATAAAAACTGACGCTACACACACCCGAAACAACTGATGTAAAATCAGTTTTTTTTCCCGTTCACTAACCTGTTAGTGGGCAGCATTTTTCGTTACCAAAAAACTTGGCGAAACAAGGAATCAGTCTGAAATCCTCGGGAGATACACCGTGTTGTAGGAAATAGTCCCAAGGCAAACCTGTGGTCGCTTATACTAACCAAGAAAGTTATATAATTGAATAAATCTATGTTACGATTTGTCTTCTGCATATGAAAATTTTCTCCTGCCTCACTATTGGGTCTTTTTTCCTTTATTGTTTTTGTTTATGTGTATTTTCGTAAACGCTACTAATTATCGAAAACAGAAACTAATCCGAAGTATTCAGTCGTAACCGGAATAGTCTGAAGATTTAGGATTATAATTAGTCTACACTCAAATAGCACACTTTTTTAAGTGACTATAGCCGATCGAGGTTTTAGATGATATTTAAAATGCTTCATTCCCCCCTTTGTCACTTTTTTCCTTAAACATCGCTAATTATAGCAAAAGGAAAACAAAGCCCAGATGTGGTCACTTATATCATTCCCTTCGTCAGCACCCACACAAACTTTTAAGTTAAAAGTATCAATAGCGACGGAAATAGCACGCCGCTTTCTGGATACGTTTGCAGTGGGGAACCGAATCGAATTTCGAGCGGTTTCTAAATAACCGTGAAATTTGTGGGCGTGGACCAAATTACAAAACAAAAATGGTAAAGAAAGCAGCCGATCGTAGGCTTATCAAATTCTTTTTTTTTCGCAATGTTTTTAGAGAAATCCCCCTCTTTTTTCCTACAAAGTTTCAGATGGAATCAAATCACTATCAGATGAAACAGCATTTCCAGACTTCATCATTTTCTTTAGATGTACGCTAATTATGTCGATAGCATGTTTATTCACTGTTTCTATGACCCTTAAAACTTTGTTTCAAAATATTTCCAAAACACTCCCATAGAATTTGTTCAAACTTTGCCATAATCGAAGCAACTAGGGGAGATAAAAGCTCTGATGTCAATAAAACATGAATCATAAAAAAAATTTCATCTTTATACAGTACAGCTGTGGTAACCTTTTTCCGCTATCTTTTTTACTCGCGGACGTAGTAAACGCTCAAAGTGGGGAAGTAGGCTCCCTAAAAAATCCAGTCTAGCCACTTAAACAAAGGTTGATATATTATTAATAAAAATGAAGGAAATAAAATGACAAACAATAAAAAAGAGAGAGAAAAAACCGACAGGCATCCGCAAATATTTTGCTTGACTAAACCCAGTTTTCTGAGCCAAATTATGAAAGATTTTCGTTTTTTATTCATTTATATTTATTATTGCGGCCATCGACTCGGACCACTAAAGGAGAGAAAAAAGTCAACTTCCAGTCTAGCCTGCGACCTCCCTATATCTCTATTATGTTGCTTCAGCCACAAGTTGCTCAAAATTTTCTTTAAGTTGCCCCAAAATTCTTGAAAAGCTGCTTAATAAAGTTGCTGGACATTCTAAAAAGTTGCTCAAGAGTTGCTTGTTAAGTAAAATCAAAATGACAGCTACTTTTTGCCAACTGCTCTTATGGTATGTTATGTTATGTCAACTACCGCTGGTGAAGTTCAATAATGTAATTTAAACTGCTCCCTCCTTTACTATTATTATTATCATTATTATTTGACGCATTTACGGCCGGTGACGTTTGAATGTACAGCAACTGTGTAATGTCATTTGTTTTATATCCTACAAAATCAGAGTACTGTTGTAACATTTTACAGAGGCAAACTGAACAATTTAAGTCTTCTCTATATCATTGTCTTTCTCACAGTCTTTCTCTTGTTATTGTAAAAAAAGTGTATATTTACAGTTACGCGTTTTGAGCAGACTTTAAATCAGTCAGTGTCATTTGTGTAAACAGAAGATTGTGAGATGAAAACCCTCTGAGATCAAAATGTTTCTCCTCTTTGGTTTTATTGTGCAAGTGTATTCTTCGGTTCGCATAGGGTCGTTTTCATTCGAGGTAGAGAAACTACTATGTTTCAATATTTGTTCCCATTTTAAAAAAACGTGGTGATATTTGCGGACCATTGACCTTAACTGCGAGTAGTCCACCTGAGGCGGGAGGGATGGGACACAAGGTTGAATTCACACGTTGCATATCAAAAAAACTGATATTCCCGTAAGTTTATGTCGCCCCTAAAATAAAAGGTAGCTCTCAATGGCAAAATTTGCCAAAAAGGTGCTCCAAATATATCAAAAGCTGCCAAAAAGATGCCGAGAAACTTGTGGCGGAGGCTTACTATTAGTTGTTTCTTTAGAAAAAAAAAAATCTTGAACGCGGGTTATTCCTGTCGTAATTGACCACCCAAAATGTTTAATGAGTAGCTTAATTTCTGTAAAGACACAACCTTTTTTCGTAACTATCCCACACTAAGGGTGAGACCGCTTACTCAAAAGTCAAACAAAGCCGTTTGCTTTCAAATATAAAAAGTGTAATTAGAAGTAAACAGTCATGTGTTCCGCGCCTTTTCAGGTGCATGCGAAGTACGGGTATAAGAAATTTTTTTAGAAATGTGTCACTTGGTAATTTGCGGTTGAAAGCAAATTGTCTTCTCGATCTTGGTCGGTTCGTTGGAAAAAAAACTGCTATCAGGTGGACCCAGCTTTCGCCTGGTAAAAGAATGCTTTCTTGAAGACCTTAGACCTTTCGCAACAAGTATAAGCGATCTTTCTTTTTCAGTGATGTGACACCGTTGAAATGAAGGGGTCTTTAACTTCAGGCATCTCTGTTTTCTGGTTTGTTTTGCTTGAAACTTTAGGAAACAAATAAGGGGCAAGTAAAAGATGATAGTACTGAATAGTGAATCACTTTATAAATTGGCAGAAACATGTGATAATTATCAAATAAATAAGAAACGGACTGTTTAGACATCATGCTTGCACTTGTTTAGTAGCTTTTTTTTTCTGAAATTGGTATTGAATATTTGAAAAGTGTCCTCTGTAATTGTTTTCTTTCTATGTTTTCTGCTTTAGCTTAGACATTTGGCAAAGCTTTTAAGCATCACAAAAGATCGTAAGTTTGGTTTTACGTTAGAGATGCGAACATTTCAAGTTCAAATGCCTTTTTTTCTTATAGAAACATGTTTCACACTACGTTTTACTTTCTCTGAAGTCAGCCCTAAAATTGGACCCAACAGTGTACCAGAGTTATCGGTTAATCTGATTGAAGCACTGTCCACGGATAAATTAAGGTTGATAGTAAGCTCGTGAATTTCTTTACTGAAAGGCATCGGCTCAATTTTGGAGAAATTGGTTAACCTGCAAACATAAAAACTGACACTGCACACCCGAAACAACTGATGTAAAATCAGTCTTTTTTCCCGTTCGCTAACCTGTTAGTGGGCAGCATTTTTCGCTAGCAAAAAACTTGGCGGAACGAGGAATGAGTCTGAAAACCTAGGGAGATACACCGTGTTGTAGGAAATAGTCCCAAGGCAAACCTGTGGTCACTTATACTAACCATGAAAGTTATTTATTTTTAATTGAAAAAATCTATCTTACGATTTGTCTCATGCATTATGACAATTTTCTCCTGCCTCACTAAGTAAACTTTGACTTATTTGCCCCTAAAATCAAAGGTTTCTCTCTGTGGCAAAGGTTGTCAAAGAGGTGTTCCAAATATAGCAAAAGCTGCCAAAAAGGTGCCGAGAAAATAGTGGCTGCAGAGACTTACTATTATGTGTTTCTTTAGAAAAAACGCTTGAACGCGGGTTATTGCCGTCGTAATTGACCACCCAAAATGTTTAATGAGCAGCTTCATTTCTGCAAAGAGACAACCTTTTTTCGTAGCTTTCTCAAACCAAGGGTGGGGCCGCTTACAAAGTTTGCTTTCAAATATAAAGAGTGCAATTACAGGTAAAGAACCATGTGTTCCGCGTTTTTTCAGGTGCATGCTAAGCACGGGTATAAAACGTTTTCTTAGAAATGTGTCACTTGGTAATTTGCGGTTGAAAAAAAATGTCTTCTTGATCTTGGTCGGTTTGTTAAGGTCGATCCAACTTTCGCCAGGTAAGGCGTGAAGACCTTTTGCAACAAGTATAAGTGATCTTTCTTTTTTAGTAATGTGACACCGTTGAGATGAAGGGGTCTTTAACTTCAGGCATTTCTGCTGGTTTGTTTTGCCTGAAACTTTAGGCAACAAATGAGTGGCAAGTTAAAGATAATAGTACATTAGTGAATCTCTTTGTAATCTGGCATAAACAGTATTTAACGTGAGCTCTGCTTTTAGGTTTGCCCAAACATGTGAGAATTATCAAAACAATTAGAAACGGACTGTCCAGAGATCATGCTTGCACTTTTTAGTAATTTTTTTTCTGAACTGATTGGTATTGAATATTTAAAAAGTGTCCTCTGTTACTGTATTCTTGTTATGTTTATGCTTCAGGGTAGATATTTTGCAAAGCTTTTACTAAGCATCATACTGAAAAGATCGTAAGTTTGGTTTTACGTTAAAGATGCGAACGTTCCAGTTTCAAATGCCACCTTGTCTTACAGAAACATGTTTGACACTACACTACAGTCCTAAGATTGGACCCAACAGTGTACCATAGTTATCGATAAATATGATTGAAGAACTGTCAACGGACAAATAAGGTCAACAGAGGGTTCGTGAATTTCTTCATTAACAGGCTCATTTTTGGAAAATTGGTTAACCAAATTTTTGAAAACTGACACTACACACACCCGAACCAACTGATATAAAATCAACATTTTTTCCCATTCACTAACCTGTTAGTGGGCAACATTTTGCGTTACAAAACAACTTGGCGAAACGAGGAATCAGTCTGAAATCGTAGGGAGATACACCCTGTTGTAGGAAATAGTACAAAGGCAAAGCTGTGGTCCCTTATACTAAATATGAAAGTTATTTAATTGAATCGAATAAATCTATGTCATGATTTGTCTCATGCATTATGACAATTTTCTACTGCCTCACTATTGGGTCTGTTTTTGTTTTTTTTCTTTGTTTATGTGTATTTTTGTAAACGTTACTTATTATCGAACACACAAACTAATCCGCAGTATTCAGTCGTAACCGGGATAGTCTGAAGATTTAGGATTAGCCTACATTCAAGTAACAAACTTTTTAAAGTGACTACAGCTGAGGTTTTAGATGATATTTAAAATGCTTTATTCTCGAAAGCTTCATATTTCCTCTCATCTATCCCTTTTCTTTCCTTTGTCACATTTTTCTTTAAACATCACTAATTATAGAGAAAGAAAAACAAAACCCAGCTGTGGTCACTTATATCATTCCCTTCGTCAGCTCTCACACAAACTAAAGCATCAATAGCGACGGAAATAGCAGGCCGTTTTCTGGATTTCTGACTAAAACTGAAGATGCAAGAATAGTGCCAAACGTATTGCTCGATGGGCTTCATCTACTTTTTAAGGAGAATTTGATAGAAAAACCTTCTTTTTACATCCTGAAACCGTCGTGTCGGGAAATAGACGAATGTTTTGAAGAAAGTTTAGAGGAAGTAAGGATTTTAAGAGTTTATAATTAGCCTAGTATCGTGCGTATGATGAATAATAAAGCAATTATTGAAAAAGAATTATAATTATGCAGATCTCAGAGGCTGTTATCCAAATCCGCCGATAACGTCTCTCCTCGATCTGCATACGTGTAATTCCTCTACTTCTCAAGGGTGGATACATTATTATATGAAAAAAAATAAAAATGACAAACAATAAAGAAGAAACCGACAGGCATCCGAAAATTTCCAAAAATAACGTGCACTATACATACCTCCCTGACTAGTACATTTTTAGTTTGAATTTATCGCATCTTTTGAATGTAAAACATTTACAATACTCACACTGAAATGTACTAGTCATGGATATATGTATTGTCCGCATTAGTTTGGAAAAATTAGCATATCGTCAAAACAGTGAATGTTGTAGCGCGGATTTTTGACAGGTTCGTAGGATAATTTTGTCTTGAAATTTCAAGGTGTTGCAGTGAATCAATCTTCATGAACGTTTCAGACGTTATTATATACACTATGAAGATTATGTGAAGCGATTTTTAAAAAATTCGCGCCAGTCGTTTCAGAGATATACAAAAAAGCGCGAAAAGTCCAAATTTTAAATGAAGTTGCACTTTTACAGGTGGTGAGAAAGCGGGTTAGTTTGAAGATCGCAAGAACGAAAATATACCAGAATTTCCTAGCATCGAAATATGATATTAATCAGCGTTCTGACACTACTTAAGAATAATTTGAGTCATTTATAACGTTTTTATTAAATAATCTATCACGGCTATTGAAAATGTAAGGTTTGAAATATATTTTCGTTTTAGTCGAGTTCAAACATACAGAATTTTTTACTTCTAAGGGAGGCTATTTGCTTCAGTAACACTAAACTTTAAGTTACTAGTGTTACTAGTTTCAGTAGCTGGTCTAGATCGCGCAAAATTGGGTATTTATCAATTTCAAAGTTTTTGTTTATTGTTGTCATAGTAACATAGATTTTACTGAAACCTACATTTTGACAAATTTCAATCTATAGTCAATCATTGGTGAAAATTTTATAGCGATCAGACAAGGATGCAATCACGTTTAAAGCGATTGAAAAATATCGGTATGGCCTCTGAAAAACTTTATCGAAACACCTTTAAAAAAACGCCTGATCGCTTGTTATTCCGGTCATAAGTAACCAAACAAAACGCGAAGTTTCAGTGGTTGCTTACGAAATCAAACATCATCAAGAAGTGAAGAAACACCTTGACTTTGGAAGATGATTTTAGAATTTCGTGTTCCAATATGTGTAGTTCCTTGTTGTCCCTGAAACACATAGAAAGACAGCCACAGCGAACAATGAAAGCCGACCATGCGTCAGATGGTCGCTTAATTACAAGAGATCAAAAACAATCAGGAATGAAATTCTTGTAAAGCATTTCAAGAAAAAGTG